CCCTCAAGGGTCACTACTGTCTTGGTCCCCTATGTTTCTTGCTGGTCGGTAGGTATTGATGCCCAAGGTCACGGCAAGGTAGCCTGTTTTCTATGTCTCCGAGTTTGGAACATAATATAAACTTTTCTCCGTTTTCTTGGACTTTTATATATATTTTTAAAAGCTTCATTTACACACTGTAAATTGCTTTGTTAGAACTACGTCATTTGTACTGATCGCTATTTTAGTGTTGTACTAATTGCTCCGCTTAGTTATACCAGTTGCTCGTTTCGACTGTAGTATCGCTTGTTTTCGTTGTACGCCCTCTTTAGTTGTACAAGCTACTCGTTCTGACTGTAGTATCGCTTGTTTTCGTTGTACTAGGTGCAATCTTTACTTGTACAAGATACTCGTTCTGACTGTAGTATAGCTTGTTTCCATTGTACTAGTTGCTCTCTTTAGTTGTACAAGCTACTCGCTCTAACCGTAGTATCGCTTGTTTGCATGGTACTAGGTACCCTCTTTATTTGTACCAGAAGGTCGTTCTGACTGTAGTATCGCTTGTTTTCGCTATACTAGGTGCTCACTTTACTTGTACAAGCTGGTCGTTCTGGCTGTACAAGTAGTCGCTTGTCTTAATGCCACATCAGTTGCTACACCGGGTTGATGACGGGTTAGAAGTATTCTCGGGACAATTCCATCCCCGGATCATCACCCCGATGATGACATTGTCACGGTCTGTTACGTCCGTAGATGTTGTCATCTTGAGGTTGTTGGCCATCTTGATTCTTCTTTTGTCCTTCCTTCACTTGGTGACCTTCACTCCCTCTTCTACATCTTTACTTAGAAATATTAATTATATGGCAAGCACATCATCTATACATAAGAAATACAACTCTTAATAACGAATGCTTTTTTTACAAATAAAACTAACTTTCTACTGTCCTCACTGCGAAGACAAAAAATGTTTTATCTATCCTTATAACTATAAAAATGAAATCCAAAATCGATGTTTGTTATCGCGTTTCGCAAAATCTACAGAATCAATCATTATGAAATTTCGCATGTAGGTAGCTGATGATTTCGTTTAACATATAGGCTATTCAAAAAACTAAAAAGGTTAATGTGCTTTTTTTAATGTAAAACCAAAAAGCGTTAGTTCCAGCCTTTTACTGCTTGGCGCAGCACTGGTCGCGACGATAAATGAATTTGATTGGTTAATAATTTTACACGTAGTTTGTTTACACGATGAATGTTAGTTTGTTTACACGATATATATGTTATTTATTTCTTTATAATACTATCTTCATGATAGTATTTCCTTACTGCGATGAAAAATAGTGGGAGGGCTTGGTTTATCAGCAGTAAACCCTCCCAGCGTTTTTTTTTCGCCAATTTAATCCACCACAGACAGTAAGAAAGTTTCTTTTATTTTATACTTATAAATATATATTTAGAATCATGATCAAGGTTTATCTTTTAGACAATCACCAATTTACATCTTTTACTGCGGAGCGAATTGTTTGGCCTCGTTGATAATGAACCATCCCAACTACGCTAGCTGGTGGTGGGCCAGCCAGACAATTCCAAACTTCCACATCATTGGGCTAATGGTAGGTTACTGTTTTAAAGAGTTATGTTTACTTCTATTTTCTCTCTATAGATGACACTAAGAAGGCCTGATATATCTAAGTTACAACATAAAGTTACGGGAGAATGATAATCATGTCCCAGAAGAGATACTTATCCCTTTTAGAAAGAGGGAATCATATATCGCCGCAACTCTTTTTATTAACGCGATTAAGGAAGCTTTCGGGCAAGCCCTTCTTCAGCTAACTATAGTGTACAGTGTACACTATAGTTTACTATAATTAGCTGAAGAAGGGCTTGCCCGAAAGCTTCCTTAATCGCGTTAATAAAAAGAGTTGCGGCGATATATGATTCCCTCTTTCTAAATTGTCGAAATCCGCAATCAGTTTACCATGAACTTATCCCTTTAATGGCGCATTAAAACGATAGCACTGTGCATCACCCTAGTAAAAAACTTTACTAGTGATGATAAAGATAAGGCATAATTTTTGGATTATAGATTATAAACACAAAGTAATAAGACCAAATAAATAAATAGTGTGTGATGTTTTGGTAACAGCGTTTTTACCGAAACCTCACACACTATTTATTTGGATTTGGTCTTATTACATTGTATTTAGAGATGATAAAAGAATGAGCCACAGCACCGTTTTTACATATTCAGACAAAAAACCGACCTGTATATTCAACCTGTAAAGTCCGAAACCATGGTATACAGGTTGGCTTTTTGTCTGAATTTGCCAAAACTGGTGTTGTGGCTTATTATTTATCATCACTAGTAAAGTTTTTTACTGGGGTGTGATGCACAATGCTATCGTTCTGATGCAGAATTACAGGGAGAGGTTCCTCTTTTGGTACATACGAGGTGTGTTCAAAAAGTATCGCGACCTTTGTGTTTTTTCAAAAAGTATTTATTTATTCATGAATACCTATTTTATCCCCTTCAAAGTAATCCCCATGAGATATTACACACTTGTGCCGACGGTTTTTCTAATCTTCGAAGCACTTCAAAAAATATTTTTTTAAAATCTTTTTCAGCTCCTCCTTCGATGCCGTCTTTATCTCGTCAAGTGTAGCGTAACGTCGTCCTTTCATGGGTCTCTTCAGTTTAGGGAACAAGAAAAAGTCACAGGGGGCCAGATCTGGGGAATATGGTGGCTGCGGCATCATTAGTGTGTTGTTTTTGGCCAAAAAGTCGCGCACAAGCAACGATGTGTGAGCAGGGGCGTTATCGTGGTGCAAAAGCCAATTTTTGTTCTTCCACAAATCCGGGCGTTTCTGGCGGATTGCTTCGCGCAAATTGCGCATAACTTGCAGGTAATATTCCTTATTGACCGTTCTACCCTGTGGCAAGAACTCATGATGCACCACGCCCCTGCAATCGAAGAAAACTGTCAGCAAAACTTTGACGTCCGGCACGCTCTTCGTCGTTCACATCTTCTCGGCCTTCTGAGAACATTTTGTACCACCGATAAACGTTGCTTCGGTCCAAGGTAGCTTCTCCGTATGCCACAGTCAACATTCGGAATGCATCCGCGCACTTAATTTCGTTTTTCACACAAAATTTGATACAGGTTCTTTGATCCATTTTTTAATAGGTAAAAATTGAAGACGATCCAAAACACCCGCAAGCAAAGCAGCTGTCAACAATTTAGTGAACATTCAAAATGACCGAGCTTGTCGGCATAAGTGAGAGACATGAGTACCAACATAAAGCCACAAAAAGATCGAAATTCGAATATACGTAACCCGCGTAAATTCAAAAGTCGCGATACTTTTTGAACACACCTCGTATATCTTAGTGTCTCTCAATATTCTAATCTCTATTACTATTATTGGCTCTTTAATAATATTTCTGCAGTTTGTTCCATCATTCATTTTGCCTCTTTTAAGCTGCCTTAATTCATCTTTCATAGTAAATCTCTATTGGTAGATTATTCCCTAGAATAATGAATAGTACGAATAATAGAGGCGATATGAAATATTGTGGTATTAAACATGCTCGGAATCAAAATTTATTCGATATTTCTTAAATCTCCAATGATTATAACTACGCAGAGGTTTTTTATCTACAAGTTGGTGTGAGGGTTTAACATTGAATGTCACGCTGGACCGAAATAGAACGGGGAAAGTTATTTTGAAACCAATCAATCGAAAGTTTTAAACCGGGAATAGAAAACATCGAACATCACAACCGCTATACTGAAACCTCCATCAGCACGTGGCCGAAATGGGAAATCAATCAGGATAGAATGGATTGTGAACGGCTGTCGCTAAAGTCCTCCTGGCAATGTCACGGTGTACTGCTCAGTACTTTCACTTTAGAGATATCGAGACCTGTCAGCATGGCAAGGATGAATCTAACCTATTTATTAACATTCAATTTTACATATTCCACCCATGGTAACAGCCGTATAGCCCACATACAATTTTGCATATTCCACTTAAAGTGCCGGCGTATAGCCCACATACAATTTTACATATACCACCCATGGTAACAGCCGTATAGCCCACATACAATTTTGCATATTCCACTTAAAGTGCCGGCGTATAGCCCACATACAATTTTAAATATACCACCCATGGTAACAGCCATATAGCCCACATACAATTTTGCATATTCCACTTAAGGTGCCGGCGTATAGCCCACATACAATTTTACATATACCACCCATGGTAACAGCCGTATAGCCCACATGCAATTTTGTATATTTCACTTAAGGTGCCGGCGTATAGCCCACATACAATTTTACATATTCCACTTAAGGTGCCGGCGTATAGCCCACATACAATTTTACATATTCCTTTCATGGTGATGGCTGTAAATCATACACAATTTAATTTGGGGGATTATTTTTCGTAATGGTTGCGGCTTTCCAAATTTATTACCGATTCTGGTAAATCCACTGTAACTTGTTATTTAGCGATATACCCGAACTCTCACGATCTTGGAATACTATTGAGATAGGGGGATTTACTCGCTGCCATCAAAGTCGTTTCGTAATTGAAATCAGTGATTCACAAAGGGCAACGAGGAGTCGGCTTGATTGACTCAATCACTCTGTACGAATGGCAGACATCTAGGCTGGCAGATTCTTCCACGCTATAGAGTTGACCTCATTTGGATGGTTGAATGTGAACCTTTCTAAGCCAGCACACATGTGACGGAAACATTTTTGAAAAATAATCAAAACAAAAATGTATCGATATAATAGAATCAATCTATTCTCACACCCCTAAAATGTACCATTACAGAATAAGGTGTTGTTAGCTTTTTTTAAAAGTTGTTTTACATAGATTTATATTTTTATATTTTTGACCAGATGACCGGACTACTTTGCATGTATATATTTGGTTTTCAAAATTCGAAACTATTTTATTTTATAGATGGCGCTAGTGTATCATATTTGGTTTTGAAATTATGTAAACCTACGGCCATACCACATTGAAAACACCGGTTCTCGTTCGATCACCGAAGTTAAGCAATGTCGGGCCCGGTCAGTACTTGGGAGGGTGACCACCTGGGAACACCGGGTGCTGTAGGCTTATTACCCTTTTTTTTTTTTCGGGTTTCGGCTTTTTTTTTTTTTTTTTCCGGCCTAACCTGCCTCTTCCCTAACGGAGATCCTGTCCCTAACCTCTCCAGCCTGGTCATAGTGGTTTTATATATTCCGCTTTACGCGGCCATTGGGGCTCAAAAATCATTTATTTTGGTTAGGAGCCCCGTAAATAAAGATATTTTCTCTCTGTAAGTTAGTTAGTTATGAAAGGAAATTAAAAGTGTTAATTTCTTCGAGGTGTTGGTGATTACTCTGCTCGATGGTAGAATAGGAAAGTCTTAGCTCCCAACAGGTGTTTATACGTCAGATCCCTATAATACAAATAAGAATTTTTAAAAATCCTAATATTAAAATTTACAAATTTCTTTTGTGCTTACATATTACCCGCTCAATATGTAATATGTGCAAATATGTGGGAAAATGATTTAATAAAAAAAAAAGAAAGAGAAATAAAAATGGTGCAAGAAACGTAACCTTGAATTTCTTATTGGAATTGTTAATTTATAAGTCAGGGGATGTGTGTGTATATATATCTGAATCTGTGTATTGAAACCTCAGTTATCCAGCCACTATGCTTCCTCCTTAATGGCAATCGTCAAAGACAGTTTAGACTAAGGTTTGTTAAACTTTAGTTTTCCCATCCACACACTTCTCCCGTTTAGCCGAGTCCACCAAACGGCCTGCTTGCCGTGTCATCAATTTTTCACCCGTCAATCGGTCAATATTGGCTGTCTAGATAAGGACTGTGGCACGCAGTAAGCCAAGAGTTAACCTGGAATAACCACCGCACGATTGTACAGTAACCTAGACAAACAACCATATATTTGTTTTTATTCTTCACATCAATTCAATACATCACCACTTTACATTACTCTCTATCTAATTTATTTGCATAGCGAATCAGTGTTGATACGCCTGTGGCTTATCACATTTGTAGATCTTTGGTTCTTTTATCGACTTTATTGATTACTTCATCTTACATGATTCACTGATTAGCTTTCCAAGTTGGAAGCTAAATGGTTTATTATCTACAGATATCTACAATATTACCTTCAGCTGAACAAGGGACATTTGACCAGGTCTTATCTGCTGTATTCATTGGTGTAGTAGATAATGGAACATCGTAGAACTTTCGTAATAACTTTTTACTTGAATTTTAATGAGTTTGTCATTTATCTTAGGTAAGTAGGATCTCAGTCTGATATAGGAGTCAGAAATAGTTTTCCCATTATGTATATGATGATATTATTCTGTTTCGCTAGACTCTGATAGATCTGAGTAATTATGTATAGACATTTATGAAATACAGTAGAACCTCCCTGTGAGGGTCAGTAGGTCAATTCTTTGTTAGCTTACCTTACCTAGAAGCATGGTTTGTGATTGTTTTCGAACGCTCTTACTCATTTAAATAATTCTCTCTGGTGAAAAATATTGTGACGTTCTCGGCCCTTTTATTCCAAGAGCCAGGAACGTCGTCGGTGGTGAGAAAAGGATAGGAAGAAGAAGAAGAATGCGACTGGCGCCAAGTCGAGGTGTCATCGCGACAGTTTGGAATAAGCTGGCGGCAGAACAAAAAAGGCTGGGAGTCCAATAGAGCAGGGAAAGTGACCACGGTTCAATGAGAAAAACGACAGTTTGGTGACAGCAGTTTGACAATAAGGAGTCCTGAGGAAGGTAGCTCAGTAGATAGATCTATTGGCCTGACAGAGAAGATACCATGAAGCATGCCCGGCCGTGTTGGCGACTGGATTGTACGGAGAGGATTACTCTGTGGAAAGTTGACACCGGAACGATAGTGTTCTTTAACACTTTACTTCCAACGGTTTCGACGAAGTTCTGTCGTATTTTTCAAAGAACTATTTGACTACTGTTTATTTATATATATATATATATATACACCAATTCAGGATGAAATAGTGTTTTGGGAGTGTGAAGAGTACAGCGCCTCGATACTCCAAACAACGAGATATAGATAACGATATTAACTAAATTGTGAAAAACTCTCACAAAATACCAGATCATTCAGAGTTTGTATAAAACTAAACGTAGTCAAATATCCTGAAGCTAGAGGTTGTCTGGACGGCATTCATATTTCTGTGAAAAAAAGACAAAAAACTGGCCGAGAGAGAGAGAGAGAGAGAGAGAGAGAGAGAGAGAGAGAGAGAGAGAGAGAGAGAGAGAGAGAGAGAGAGAGAGAGAGATTGAGATTGAAACTGATTTATTTAAACGTCCATATAAGATTATATAAGGTTAAATACAGAATAAATAAAAATATGAATAAATAAGATTATATATAGTGAAAAAAATGAATAAATAGATATAAATATATAAATTAATTGATAAATATACATATATATAAAATATATACAAGGTCTTCATTGGTGGCGCCCACCGCGAGAAAGACTCCGCCACCGATGGACTGCGAGAGTTCTTTCCCACAGAGTGGGCAGGTCGATGTGTTGGCTGGCATTACCCAACTCAAGACCAAGATGGTACTTGTAGATGGTAGCCTTCGCCACACTTGTTAGCTTCACTGCCTCGGGATGGAGGCCGACGCCGAAGAGCCAGGCCTGCAGATCCAGGGGCACTTCGCAGGAGGCGAACACCTCCCGGAGCAGGGGTCGCACGGCTCGGCAACTCCAATATCTGTGGGCCAGCGACCCGTCGCTGGACCCACAGGTGGCACAGTTGGCACGCCTCGAGGCAGGATGGTCAGGATGTGGTAGGGCGTGAAGGGCCAGCCGTAGGGCGACATCTGCGTCGTGCCCCGAGAAGCAGTTTCGACGCAGGTCGGCCCAGGGGATGGAGCGGGGCACATCCACGGTGGGGGTCCACCGAGCAGCCAGCTCTGCAGTAGGAAACGCCTGGAGCCGTGCCGAGTCCAATGCCCGGCGCGCCCTCTGGCTGGGTAGGCGGGTGATGGGGGTCGCCGATCCCCGCAGGACGATGGTCTCCGCCTCGTACTCCGCATGATAGCTGGAGCTGGCGTTTTCCCGCAGGAGACGTTGGCAGAAGGCCCCCAGGTACTGCGCGTCTAGGAGCGCGGCCCGCGTTGAGCGCGCAAGTGCAGGGGCGCCATCGGAGAAGTCCCCGACAGTCGCCTGTAGCCAGCGCTCGGGAGTCAGCAGGTCTGGCGGCCGCAGGAACCTGTTGTCACCTCGAAGACGCAGGGACCTCAGGCTGGCGGGATGAAGAACCCGGTGGTCAAGCTCGAGGACGCTGGACGCGGCCTCCCACAGGCTCAGTAGTCTCCTCCTCCTAGGCGAGTGCCAGACGTCAGGAGCCGGCGGTGTCAGCCACGCCCGGCTGCGGACCAGCCAAGAGTAGCCGTTGGCGGCGCCGCGAAGAGAGGCCTGGACCCCCTTCAGGCAGGCGAGCCGAAGCTGGCCCGCGATGTCAAGCAGGCCGACGCCACCATCGGAGACTGGACGAGCCAGAATGCGCCCGGGGAGCCATGAGACTCGGCTCGTACCCCACACGAAGCGCGCCAACCGCGCCTGCAGCCGGCCGACGGTGGTTTCAGGTGGAAGGTAGCCATGGAGGTGGTGCAGGATGGAACCCAGGACCAGGCTGTTGGCCGCGCGAGCACGACCCACCAGCGACAGTCCGCGGGTGAAGGGCGACCACCTCGCGATGGCTTGCTCCAGCAGCCCCATCAGGTGTGAGGCCTGGGAGGCGACGGTGTTCCTGGTGGTGATGGTGCAGCCTAGGACGGTCAGCGACTCGGACGTTCAGGAGATTCCCAGAGGAGAATCGGTCCGGTGCTTCCAGGAACCGCACCAGAGCCCGCAGCTCTTCTTGAAGTTGATAGCCACCCCGGAGGACATGCGGAACTCTTCAAAGATCAGGGGCACAAGCTCAAACTGAGCGTCGTCCCTGATGAAGAGTACGATGTCGTCCGCATAGGCGACCACGTTGCCGCGGCCCAAGGTCCTCTCGAGGCGGCGTAGCAAAGGTCCAACTCCGATGCTGAAGAGCGCGGCGCTGAGACGGCAGCCCTGCCTCACCCCGTTGAGAAGCGGGAAGACCTTGGTGTAGACATCTCCGACCCGGATGGAGGCGTCTGCTTCCCCGTAGAGGACAGCAATCCACCCTAGGAAGGTAGATGGTAGGCCCAGCTTCTCCAGCAGGGCGAACAGGTAGCTCCTGCTCAGGGTGTCGAAGGCCGACTTCAGGTCCAAAGAGATGACAGCCAGCGGCGTGTCATGTCTGGATGCCCCGGCGGCTTCGTCAGACACTCGCGCGATATTCCAGGAAGATGACCGTCCTGGAACGGCGTAGGTCTGACATTGGGGCACCAGGTCTGGCAGATGACGTCGCAGACGAGCCATGAGCACGCCGCTGAGGACCCTGTAGTCGGTCGTTGGCAGGCTGATTGGCCGGAATGCCTGTAGACCCGGACCACCGTGCACTTTCGGCAGCAAGATCACCTTGCTGCGCCTTGAGGATGGAGGTAAGGCCCCGCGGAGTCGAGAAGCCTCGAAGACTTGCCAAAGAACTTCGGCGAAGAAATCTTCAAAGGCTTTGACAAACTCGCAGGGGAGTCCGTCCCATCCCGATGCACGGCCATTTGGCAGGCGATGGATGGCTGCCGCTATCTGGTCGCGGGAGATGTCGGCGAGAAAGAGCTGGTCCCACTCGTCGAACTCCAGTGGAGTCACTTCAGCTAGGAAGTCGGCGATGGCTTCTTCCGAGCTTGGAGCCTGAGCGAAGCGACTGCTTAGGCGCTCCAGAAGGAAACGCCTAAGCTGGCCCCCGGAGATGGCGTTGCCGTCGTCGTCGGTGAAGGTGGAGGGAGAGCGGCGTCTGGCTCGGAGGGAACGCCCGAGGTCCGACAAGGAAGGATAGTCGGAGCGGGCAGTGTCGTCCTCCAGTCTCCGCCTCAGGAAGAGGCTTGCTCTCTCGATGTATCCACCGCCGGACTCGGCGACGGCAGGCGCGAGTGACCGTATCTCCGCGACCAGATTTGCCTTGATCCTGGTCCAT